TGCGGTGTTTGAGTCCTCATTCGCTTCAGCGACTGGAGGTTCGTCAGTCGTGGATTCAGCGGCGACAGGCTCGTTGACCTCGGCCGCCACACTCTCCTCCACTGCCGGCGACTGCGTCGATTCTTCGGCCGGCGATGTCGATGCTGGTGGAGAGTCGTCGGCCGCCGAAGGTGGGGCTTGCTGCTGACAGCCGGCGGTCATCATCGCTAGCACCAGCATGCCCAGCACGGCCACTTCTGTTACACGCGGGCGAGACTTCCATGTTCGTTGCACCGATCAATTCCTATTTGTTGAACCAATTTGTTTTGCTGCACGTAACAACGGTGTAGTATATCAATTGTCCTGATTCAGACAGGCCTCGACGTCGCACGGGTGGCTAGTTGACCGTGTAGGACTTAAGACGTCGGTAGGACATGGGAAGTCCGCACAGCGCATTACGCGCCAGTGGGCCTCCCTTTTTTTGTTGCCGGTATTTAGCGGGTTCCCGCTTTCCCGGCGGCACATCCGAGCAAGGCCGCATTCTCCGCAATCGCACCCATGGATTCGTGCGCTCCTGCGCGAGTTGCGAGGAGGTCGTCCTTGCTCGACAGCTGCGAATTGAGACAAGCAGACGGCATGATGCGAACAAGTTCACATCCGAGGTGGAAGATTCTCTACTACTCGGGTGCTCGAACAACGTCGCCGAGCGTGCCGAGTGCTAAACTACTTGTGTCACCTTGTTTTGCTCAGCATGACTCCAGCCTTTTGAGGTACCCGCTTACCGGGTGCTTTTGAGTCTGGTTGCGGTTGACTAGCAAAGGTGGCAAGAAAGGCGCGGTCGTAGCGATTGTGCCAGCAAACCAGAAAATATCTCGACGACTACCGGGGGCCAGCCCCTGCGACACCGGCGAGCAAATGACCTAGGATTTTGGTGTGTTGAATACGGCACACAGTACAACCTGCCGCGTGAGACCGGCCGAACGTGTTTGAGGGGTACGTTCTTCAATGGGTTTCCTAAAACGCTTTTTTCGAAACGTGTTCCGCGACGGAGCGCCTTCGATGACGACGAGCAGCTTCGACCATTTGTCGGAGGAAGAGCTCGAAGCACATCTGGGCGTAGTTCGGTACGGCGATTTCATGCTCACCGATGCCGTGCGGCCCTCGTACGATCTGCAGGTCGTGCCTAGTGCCGGCTATCGTCACGATGTTTATCGTGATGAAGAGAATCAAGCTTCGGTCCCGGTGCTCATGGCTGCCGCTTCGAACGAGCGACTGTTCGAAATGTTCATGGAGATGCTCGAGCCCCTGGGCACCGAGGTCGACGTGGTCATCGAGACAAGCCACAACCGCGACGAGCGGGGGCACCTCGACCTGTATCGCGAACATATCGACATGCCAGTGCTGAAGAGCATTCTTTGGGACTACGAAGAAATGCTGCTCAACGACGGCTGCACCGGAATCGCCGTGCTGAACCCGGCCATTCCGCAAGAAGTGCAGTTCGACGAGCACAAGCTACTGATTGCCTACGGTGAAGACCTGAGCGGTTTCGAGAACGTGCTCCGCGATCAAGGTCTCCCCATGCGGGAAGACATGAAGTTCATCACCGAAGCCGAACACGTGCACTCGTCCAGCGATCAATACTACGAGCAGTTTGAAGAACTCCGTATGCGACTCGGCATGGACTCCATGTGCTACTAAACACCCGCTGTGGGTTGGGTGGCCCAGGATTGTGAGCCTGGGTCGCCACAGGTGACAAGAGGTCACCCAGTTCGGCGATACAGAACCGCAAGGATACTGGCGGTTTTCATTCTCTGCTGCAAGTTGCACGCCATTCTACGTGCATCGGGTCGCACTTTCTTTCCTGAAGAAACTGGACTCGCGCATCGTCAGCCAGTAAGTTCAGCGCTAGATGCCGCATCGCGGCTCTCGGTTCTCCTGCACGCACTTCTAGTCGACGAGGGACCCTGTCATGCGCACTTCCTGCTCGATATTGGCGATTTGTTCGGCACTTAGCCTGATGGCCTTCAGCCCCGCTTTGGGTGACGAGCCCAGTTCAGCTCAGCCGTACAATGCCGAGGCGGCGTTCGAGCAACTCAAGTCGCTGGCCGGAGAATGGATCGACAACAACAACCCCAACGATGCCGCTGAAGAGGTTCATTTCCGCGTCATCGGTGCGGGCAGTGCCGTGATGGCCACGTTCTTTCCAGGCAAGCCCATGGAGATGATCAGCGTCTTTCACATGGACGGCCCCGAGCGACTCGTACACACGCACTACTGCGCACTTGGGAATCAGCCCATGATGCAGTTCGAGGCCTGCGAAACTCCCCACGCCATGAATTGGGTCTTCATCGGCGGTACCAACTTCGACCCGGAGAAAGATCTTCACGTCCACGAAGGGATGATTCGTGTGATCTCGCCCGACGAAGTCGAAAGCGAATTCACCGCCTTTTCCGGTGGCAAACCGGCCGGCACGACGAAGCTGACGCTTTCGCGGAAAAACCCCAGCGACGAGTAGATTCTGCACGATTTGCTGGGCGGCCAATTTCTCAAATTGTATTGCCAACGCATCGCATTCTCTAAATTGCGTGAATTCCCTCTGAGGGGCATCTTGCGCGTTTCAGTGCAGTTGTAGTTGTTGCAGGGAGCACAGCCGGAAGTTCTCTTCCTTTGCGCCCGAGATTCTCGGGAAATTTCTAGACTCCCACTGCTGTTTCATCGCACAATGGCAACATCGCATCCAATGTCCTTCTGGGAGCTGTGACCGGACGTGGTCACGTGGGCTGTCTCCCATTTTCGAAGCACATTGCAAGCGAACAGGCGGCACGAGTCGTAGGAGTGACCGATCGCAAAACCAGGTAGAAATTCGTTGATTAGCTGAAATGGGGAACCGTTAAAATGTTGAAGCTGCCCAGCTTTCTATTCAGTTTGTTGTTGGTTCTGTGGCTCAATCCAATCTCACTTGGTCAAGATGAGGAGCCAGAACCACAACCCGAGCCGGAAACCGAGGCCACCGAAGCAGCGGAGCCCATCGAACGAGAAATATTGGGCAGCGTCGATCTTTATAAAGAGGTTCTCTTCGGCACAGCATTGGTCGTCAATGAAAAGAGCAACGCCCATGGCACCGCCTGGGTGCTCGACGAAGAAGACTGCTTATTGGTCACCAATCATCACGTGGTCGAGGGCACCGATGAAGTACTTATCTACTTCCCCAGCCGCGATCAACGCACTTCGTTTTCGCCAAGCCTCAAGTTCTTCCGCGAAGATCAAATCCCGCTGATTGGTCGCGTGATCGATTCGCTGCCAGAAAAAGACCTGGCGATCATTCTCACAGCGGCCATCCCACGTTGGGTTCACGCGCTGCCACTGGCCGAGAAGAACAATCCCGAGAAAGTGCAGGGGGGTGTTACGGTCAAGTCGGTCGGAAACCCCGGCTCTTCGTTATGGGACAATGTCTCGGGCGAAGTCCGCCAGGTGCGGCGCCGCCAGTTCCAACTGGGCGACAATCAGAATGTGGACGCCGTGGCGTTCGACGTCACATCGGCACTCAACCCAGGCGATAGCGGTGGGGCCGTGGTTAACAATCGCGGCGAGGTCGTCGGTGTGGTCTCCGCCACATCTCGATCGGAAACCCTCCGCAGCATCGTGATCCATGTGGACGAGGTTCACGACTATATTGACGAAGTCCGCGATTGGTTGCAGCCTCGAGAAGCAGAACAGTTCCACAAGCGAGGGCAGAACTATCTTGAGAAGGAGCGTTTCGAATTGGCCCTCCGCGATTTCGATCGGGCGATCGATCTAGATGACGAACCCGCAGTTTATTACTGCTCGCGTGGTGAGGCTCATTACAAGCTCGAGAAGTACGATCTGGCCGCCGCCGACTTGGCCAGGGCTTTACAGCTCGACCACGAACTGGCCCCCGCCTATCGCATCCGAGGGCTGTGCTATCTCAGCAAACGCGAGTACGACAACGCCACCGACGATTTCGACAAGGCGATCGAGATCGACCCCAAGCACGGTCCAGCCTTCGAAGGAAAAGCCCTCGTGGCGCTTGCTAAGCGCGATCTGGACGATGCCATCGAGCAACTAGGCGACGCGATTCGCCACGAGCCCGACGTCGCGCAGTATTACAATCGTCGGGGATTGGCCTACTACGCCAAAGCTTCGAACGAAGAGAAGGAAGAAGACTCGTTTCGCCACCAGGTTGAAGCCTATCGCAACTTCACCGATGCGATCCGCATCGGCGGTGAACTATCGAACTACCTGGTCAACCGTGGTAACGTCTCCCGCGATGCGAGTTTCTGGAACGATGCCCAACAAGATTACGACAACGCGATTAAGCTCAGCCCCGAGAACCCAGACACCTACCGGCAACGAGGGCTGATGTATCAGCGCCTTCGCCGTTTCGACGAGGCTCTGAACGACTTCAACAAGTACCTGGAATTTGCTTCCGATAACAATTCCAAAGCACAGGCCTATGTCGACATGGGCAATACCCAATTGCTCAATGGCAATGATGCGGAAGCCGACAAGCTGTTCCAAAAGGCGGCCGACATCAATCCTCGCACCAGCGAGGGGCGTCTAAAGGATCTAAAGTCCTTCTCCACCCGCAAGCTGTTCGTAGCCAATCGAGCCAATCAACCGATTCGCTTTTACGTGTTGTTCTACACGAAGGCCACAGCCGACGAATCGCTGTGGTTCCCAGGAGCCCCGAACTCCGACGAAGCACGCAAGGCAGAGTCGTACCTGCTCGAGCCAGGGCGGCTCGCCCGACCGATCTACTCGCTGAGTGGAGCAAACCCCTTCCCCATTTCAGCCCAGCGAATTCGAATTTGGGGGGTCGGGGAAACCGACGGGAAACGCTACGAGGCCGATCGGGATCACGACGTCATCCTCGTGACCGAGGACGAGTACCGTGCTTCCGAGCAGGAGTCGCGGACCTACATCTTCGACGACGAATGATCCGCTTCGTGCAATCGGCAACTACGAGAACCGCGTGATCTAGGCCTCTCGGGCCCGGTTGGCTACCCACGACACTCGAGGTACGTCTTCAGGGCCGTTTGCCAATCGGGCAAGTCGGGGCCGCCCAGCGCACGATACTTTTCGGTGCTCAGCACACTGTAACAGGGCCTTGGTGCGGGGGCTCCGAACTGTTCGCTGGTGATTGCTTCGACTTCGACGGAGATGTCGCTCAAGCGGAATATCTCCTTCGCCAGATCGAACCAGGTCGTCTCACCGGCGTTGGTCACATGGTAGAGCCCGTAGGCCTCGCTCCGCATCAAGAACACGATCGCGCGAGCTACATCCACGGTCGAGCTAGGCGTGCAGTGTTGATCGTTGACCACCCGTAAGTGATCTCGTGATTGCCCCAACCGCAGCATCGTCTCCACAAAGTTCTTGGCCTCTCCCGGCGGGTTAACCCTGCCATAGAGCCCACAGGTCCGCACAATGAAGTGCCGCTTGCAACGCGCGGCCGCGGTTTCGCCGTCGAACTTCGACAGGGCATAGGCTCCCGTGGGGCGAGGCAGGTCCTCTTCAGTCCACGGTGCTTTGTGGTTGTGATAGCCGTCGAATACATAGTCTGAGCTGATGTGCACCAGAGTGCTCCCCAGCCGCTCACAGGCCCGAGCCAGGTTGCCCACCGCTTCGACGTTCACCTTCCGGCACTGTTCGGTATCTTCTTCCGCCTTATCAACCTGGGTGTACGCGGCCGTATTGAGCACCACTTCCGGGCGCAGCTCTTTCAACACACGCGTGACCTCACTGGCGTCGGCAATGTTCAACTGCTTCCTCGTCAGTCCAATCGCCTCGGTGCCCAGTTGCCGCCCCAATTCCGATCCCAGTTGGCCGCTAGCACCGGTGATGACAATCGCCATAGTCTGATCTCAGGCCCCAAAGAAACCACGAATCGATGTTCGCAAGAATGGCTGCGAAGCATCGTTGCCTAACGTGCAAGAATTGCAGCCTTGTTTTACTGCATCATCGTCAGGCGATGAAAGAGAACTTCATGCAGGCTTACGCTTGGTCCGGGGCTGCATCGGAAGGCACATTCCCAGGACCAGCTTTGGTCTCGGCTGCAGCGTCTCCCTCCCCGTTCTGCGTGCCTAACCATTCCTGCATCCACATCAGGTCTTCACGCAATTCGGCTATCGAATCTTCCACCCCGTGGAACTCCCGGCGGAAGCGGCGCCAACTACCGTAAATCAGTCCCGCGCCCCCGACGAACATCAACAGCGTGAACACCCACAGCACCGCCAGCGGATCGAGCGAAAACCACCGCGCGAGCTGCTGCGAAAAAGCCACCGTTGCCATGGGTAAAGCCACCAGCAGGATGAGGCATCCCAACAGAACAGCCACCACCAGGCGAACGACACTCGATCGGGCAGCCGACAGTTCGAGACCCAGCAGTTCGGCCCGCGCAGCAAGCATGGCTTTGGCTTCGGCAGAGATGCCGGCCATTTGCCGCTTCAGCGGAGAGAACAGGGGTTCGTCGAGTCGGTTGGTTGCCATGTTGCTTGGTGTTAGTTAGTCGAACTATCGTTTTGTGAGTTTTGCCAAAAGAGCATCAGCTCTTGCAGGGCTCGCTGTTTCACCATTCGCACGGCCCACACACTCAGGCCCCGAGCGAAGTTGTTTGTAAACGTGGTGGTGATTAGCTTGATCGGAATCCCACGCGAGAGCACCAGCCCAACCACGAAGGCCCCCGCAACCGCACCCGCGGGAAAGCGTCGCACGTAGGTTTTCCACGAGGTGAGCTGGTTCTTCTCTTCCTTCAGTGCGAACAGCCCGTGATTAATTTTCCGCCGGCTTCGTGCGATCTCCGCGCGCAACTCTTGCTTGCGTTTTTCGACATCGCGGCGAGAGGCCTTGGGCAATTCCACGGTGGATTCCTTCCAAACGAAACGTTCCTGCACTTACCGCCGGAACAAGCGACCCAGGAAGAAGCCCAGCAGGGCCGAGATAATCACCCCCTGTCCGGGGTTACGGCGCACATAACGCAGAGCCGCTTGAGTCAACTCGCCCGCACTGGCGTGCCGCAGGTCGTGCAGTTGCTCGGTGGCTTCGGTGCGAACCTGTTTGTAATAGCTCTGGGCCTTGGCCAATTCGGCCTGAGCCTTGCGAACCATCTCTTCGGCCGACTGCACGGTCGGGATATCGTCGATCCGTTTACCAAGCGACTCGAACGCACCCGGATCGGCGGTGGATTTCGATTTTTTGGGCGCAGATTCGTCGCCCGACTTGTCTTTGTCTTTTTTGCCCATGTTCGAAACCTCGGCTTCCAGGCTGCAAAAAAACGGCACGTTGCACTATATCAACGTACCTTACCCTGAGCCGATCGTCGCGAATGTCGTCCGGTACGAAACAACCCGACGCCCGCAGAACCGTCACAACCGATTCCTGCCCCCTCAGGGCAAATCGATCTGGACATTTGGTTCCACGAGCGCCGGCGCCTCGCCTCTCAAGCGAAGTGAGAGGCCCGAGACTCCACCCCTAGGGAGCCTCGGGTGGATCGATCCGGTACGCCTGACCGGCCAGATCGACGACCACCGGTTCATCGAACACGAGATAGCGGGCTAGCTGCCCCCCATGCTGGGAGGCCAGTTCGAAGTACTCATCGCTGAACTGCAAAACCGGGATGGCGTTCTGCTCGGCAGCTTCATCCACGGCCGCATCCACCCACTGGTTGTTGCGTCGATAGAACGACTTACTGCCCAGGTTGCGAACGTTCTCCACCGGGACTTCCGCCTCTTCAAATCCTCCTGACCCATCGAATCCCCTCGTCGCGGGCTCTTGCACCTGAAGTCCGACTTGCAAATTAGCTTTCGCCTCGCGCTGGAAGAAGGCTGAAGCCCCGTCGGTATCTTGCAGCATCTCTAGGTTCTCGGTCGTAGTGGCGGCATTGGCGGTTTGATCTCGAATATCGACGGTCTCGTCGGCCAAGAACGACGTGTACGGCGTCAGAATCCCGTGCTTGGTCGACAGGGCGACCAACTCCTCAACGAGTTCATCGTTGTGCCCTTTGAGATCCAACTCGTCGATGATCTCACCGATCCGCCGGGAGGCCCACAGCTTCTCAACGAAAGCCAGGCTCTGGTCGGGGCTTTTGTCCGTTAACTCAGCCGTGAATTCGAAGCTCTGTTCTTTTCCCGCCACGTCGCCGGAGATGTGAATCTTCACCGTTCCCGCCTTGCGATAACGCCCCACGATGACCATCTGTTGGCCCTCGAACATGTCGTAGACCTCGCGAGGGTACATCTGCGAAATCGGGTCGCCCTCTTCTGGCTTGAGCCCGTCGAACTCGAAGGTGATCTGCACGTTGCTTAACACGGGTGACTCGATGCTGCGATAGAGTTGACTCACCCGATCTTCGATGTCTTCATCCGGCCGCACGTACTCACTTTGGCCGTAGTTCTGTCGGACCAGCTTGTCGAGCAGCCGACTGTTTACATCGAAGCCCAGTCCAAACGCGAAGATGCGGGCGCGTACTTCGTTTGTGCTGCGGGTGTGATCGACGATTTTCGCCTCATTCACTTCACCCGCCGTCGGCAGCCCGTCGGTGAGAAACAGCACGTAACTTGGGCGATCGGGATCCTTCAATTGCCCCAGGGCCGTGGTGAGTGCCCCGTCGATGTTCGTGCTACCGCCCGCGTGAATTCCCTCGACGAAACCCAGGGCCATGGCCCGCGTTGTTTCATCGAAACGCTGTAACTCGGGGCGGAAGGTTTTCACGTCGGTTTCGTAAGCCACGATGTTGAACAGATCGCCCTCGCGGAGATTGTTCAGCACGAACTTCAAGGCCTCCCGGGCCTGTTCGATCTTCTCCCCACTCATGCTTCCCGAGTGGTCGAGCACGAACACTACCGTCTTGGGAACCCGTTCAACCGACTCGGCCTTGATCTCGGGGCTGGCCAACAACATGAAGTAGCCCGGCTCTTTGTCCGTGGGACGGTAACTCAGCAGGCTGGTTCCCACGGCGCCCCCACCCACGTCGTAAAACAAGCGAAAGTCGTTCGCCGGAATCACCTTCTCGGCACTGTAAGTAGCGACGGCCGACTCATTCGAGGGGCGTTTGATCTCAATGGCATGCGTGGGGCTGTAGATGTTCTTCAGCGGGGCAGAGCTGTTGATCGCCACTTCGATGTTCAGTTTCTTGATCGGCTGTGATGTGTATTTGGCGGTGCTCAGTGGGAAAAGCAGATCAGTCAGCCCATCGCTGCTGGGGCAGACTTGAGAATAGCTCAGCGTCACCGTACGCGATTCACCGGCGGGAATCGGAAACACGCTGGTTTGGAACATCCCGCAGCCCATCCATTCCAACAGTGCAGGGTCGCGGTTCTTCCGCACAATCGCCTCGTACCTCTGTCGGGCTTCATCAGCCGGCAACAACTTTCCGGTCAACTCCTTTCCGTCAACCATCAACGTCAGTTGATCGATCGCCCCGTCGTACGGCAGGGGAAACACGAACGACACCTCGAGTGTCTGGCTGCCGGTGTTCTCGAAAGTTTGCGACACCTGCACCTGGGCGATTTGATCGGAAAGTGTCGCATGCACATTCAATTCGCTAATGGCATACGTTTCAGGCGGAGAGGGCAGGGGGCCGGAGATCGGGCGCGGTAAACGTATGCGTCGCTCCGGGTCTTCCACTACCAACACGCCCTGCGCTTGGGCGAATCCGACGCCAATCAGTAAACAACCACACCACAGAACACCGAGCAGCCTGGACATGTCACAACCTCGCGGGTCTTAGGACTCGAGTTCCACCGAGCACCCACACGCGGTCGGCCGTCACTGCGTCCCGCTTGCGCGATCCCGATGGGGAGAACTCCGTTTGGAACTGAGACGATCCACGATTTCGGAAAGTTCCAAAAAACTCCAAACATTTTTTGCAACCAACGAACTTCAATAAGGTGGCTCACAACCTGGGCGCTCTGGATCGAGTGCACCGACTATGGAGTGGACGTCTCGACGCAGGGCAGAGGGTTGCCCGGTAAGGAGTTGCGGCAACCAAACCGAATACGGGCGTTGGACGGTTCGCCTCCTCACGGTCTAGAATGCATCTGTCGAGTTGAAGCCCCTCTAGTCGGAATCGTTCTCCACAACCGGCGGGATTCAGCCAACGATTTTCAGCTCTTATCTCCCTATCGAGACTTTCTGTTGAACCACGACGAGCCACACGAGTCGCCGACCCCCGGGTCAGAATTTGCCTCCGATTCGACACCAGAATCGCCCACTTCTCCCGCAAGCGATTCCACACCGGAGACGTACGGTCTGGAGCCACAGGCATTTACGGCACCGCCGGCCGAACCCATCGAAGTTCCAAGTGCTAGCCCGATGCCTCGCATCGGGCGTCCGATTCTCGCCTGGCTGCTCATCATTGGCATCGTCTCGGTCTTAGTCGGGATGAACACATTCACTGACCCTGAAGATGAACTGGTCGATGGCCAAGAGGAGAATGCGTTCCAGAAGGTGGTGTGGGAGTTTCAAGGCAAGTTGGCTCTCGGCACCGCCGACCTGATGGGGGCGGCCTCCGACGATCAACTCATCAGCGGAATACGCACTGAGTTCCTCTCCACTTACGATGGTCGACTTCGATTGGCAGTTCTCACCGGCGAGCTCGAAGATCCGCAGGCGGCCACCGAGCAGTTGGCCGGGTTGCAGAAAGACGTCGCTGACGAAGACTTCAATCCTACGGAACCTCAACTGCAAACCTCAGAAATCCTCACGCAACTGTACGCCGACTACGGAGAAGATGACTGGTCGGCCCCCGGGATTGATTCCTCGCAACGGGAATTCCTCGAAGAGCAACTCGGCTGGTACGGCAACCTGGCCCTGTCACCTAAGCAGGCCGCCGACGATGCCCCCCGCGAGGCCCTGATGGTGGAAGCACGCTTTCTAGTCTTCGCGCTGTTCTCGGGTCTGTTCATCATGCTTTTGGTTGGCTTCGCCGGCCTGGGTGGCTTTATCTTGTTTGCAGCACTTGCTCTCTCGGGCAAGCTGCGCAGAAGGCTGATCGCCGGCGCGCCACATGGCGGGGTGTATGCCGAAACCTTCGCCCTGTGGATGGGGCTGTTTCTGGCCTTCACAATCGGGGCCGGGTACCTCACAAGTAAGATTGATTTTGGTGCGGCGCAGTTCATTCCCACGCTCGTAGCCATGTTCGGCAGTCTCATCGCCCTGGCGTGGCCCGTGTTTCGCGGAGTTCCGTGGCGGGTTGTTCGTCGCGACATCGGATGGCGAAGCGATCAGAACTTCATTGTTGAAATGTTGGCCGGTGCCGCCGGTTGGGTCTCGACCCTGCCGCTGCTGATGATCGGCGTGATGATGCTGTTCTTCCTGGCTCTCCTGCAACAACTCCTTTTCGGCGGGGGAGGTGCCGCCGGGCAACAGGGGCCCAGTCACCCGATCGTCGAGTGGCTGGCCGATTCCGACTGGCGAGGCCGGTTGCAACTGTTCGTCATGGCCTGCATTGCCGCGCCGATCGTCGAAGAGACGATGTTCCGTGGGGTTCTTTACCGTCAGCTTCGCGACGCGACCTTCCGCTGGAGCGTCGGAACCAGCATTGTCGTAGCTGCACTGATCAACAGCTTTGTGTTCGCCGTGATTCATCCGCAGGGATGGCTCGCCGTGCCGGCCCTGATGTCGCTGGCTATCGGCTTCTCGCTCCTCCGCGAATGGCGCGGGTCGCTGCTGGCCTCGATGACCGCCCACGGTATCAACAACGCCATGGCCACATCGGTGTTCTTTATCTTCTTCTAAGCCCGGGGTTGCCGAAGGCTACAACAGGCCTTCCTCCGCAGCAAATTTGGCGTGGGATGGCTTTTCTCCTCCATTCCCCCAACCAATGGCGGGGTCCAACAACGGCCACTCCCGTATCCCCGCTGTTTTCCCTTCACCAGCCACCTTCCGTAGGTTAGCATCGACGTCTCACGGCAATCGTCCACGCCGGCGGTGAATCTTCAGCAACCGCCGGCCTGCGGACGAACGGGGTGCCGTTTCAAGCAATTCATCTGGTGCGGGGAAGGGGAGTGAAGTTTTCCCGCGGCCAGCCACATACTTTCCTGCCGGCTCTGCGTCACCGCGGAGATGGAACAACATCCAAGGAGTTTCACCGTGAAGATCGTTCGTTCGCTGCTGCTTCCCTGTCTGCTGATCGCCCTGGCGGTTGCGACCGCGGTTCCTGCTTTGGGTGAAACTTGGGCTGAAAAGCTCGGCTATCCCTCCGACAAGCGAATCCTCATTCTGCACGCGGACGATATCGGCATGTGTTACGAGGCCAACGCGGCCGCGATCTCGCAGCTTTCCAATGGCGAAATCCAGTCGGCCGCCATGATGGTCCCTTGCCCCTGGTTCACCGAAATCGCCGCCTGGTACAAAGATCATCCCGACTACGACATGGGCCTGCACCTGGCGTTGACCTCAGAATGGAAGCACTACCGCTGGGGTCCCGTCGCCCCGCACAACGAAGTGCCCGGGCTGTTGGATAGGAAAGATCCCCGTTTTATGTGGCGGGGAGTTCTCGCTGTGGTGACCAGCTCGTCGGCCGAAGAGGTGGAGAAGGAGATTCGGGCCCAGATCGAGCAAGCCCTGGCCCTGGGAATCAAACCCAGCCACATCGACACCCACATGGGCACCCTCTACGCCCGTCCCGACTTTACCGAGGCCTACCTGAAGGTGGCCGAAGAGTACCGCATCCCGGCGATGGCCATCGGCATGTCGGCCGACGCCGCTGACAAGTTCCGCAAGAAGGGCTACCCGGTCACCGACAAGATGATCGAAGTGCTCGACGCCTACACGCTGCCCAAGCTCGACAATTTCGACGCCGTGCCCGAGGGCAAGACCTACGAGGAGAAGCTGCAAAACTTCTTCGAGTTAGTCCGCTCCTTCCCGCCCGGCATCACCGAGATCATCTTCCACCCCTCGATCGACACCGAAGGCCTGAAGCATATCACCGGCAGTTGGCAGCAACGCGTATGGGAATCTCAAATGTTTGCCGACCCCCAGGTCAAACAATTCTTCGAACGCGAAGGCATCCTCTTCACCAACTGGAAAGAAATGATGCAACGCTGGGAAGAACGCATCGAACCCAACCTGAAGAAGACCGCCTCGACAAACAATTAGATCGTCAAACGTGGCTAAAGGTAGGGTGCTGTCGATCGCAGTGAAGACGCACCACCTATCCGCCAGATTCGCGGAATAGATAGCCACTGCTCAGACGACTCGAATACACGCTAAAGAAACTTCTACAACAGCCCCAACCTCTGTTGGGTCTCGGCCAGTTTGTCGATCATCGACCAAACTCGGGGGTGCCAGCTGTGGTTGTTGGGGGAGATCTCTTTGAGGGTTTGCAAGAATACCAGGTGATCGGAGAGGACGCCCTCGAGTTCAATGTGTTTGGTGGAACCTGCGTTGAGCCACCGCATGTGCCAGGTCGGGAATCGCCGGTCGCTCACAGTATCTTCGCAGAGGGAGGTGACGACGTCGTGCCGAGGATCTTCTGCGATGCGAGAGAACAGGCCTTCTACGGTTTGGGACTCACCCTCCAGGTACTGCAGAAAGCGTCCCTCGCTGTAGTAGAGATACCCCGTTACGCTTAGCTCGGCATTTCGGCTGGCTGCCCGAGCGGCCAACTCCTTCAAGCTTTCCGCGTAGAACGAGATTTCTTCTTTGCTGACGTAAACCAGCCCTCGCATCATGAACTGCTCCGCGAACGCACTCGAACCATCGCAAGTGAACCAATGAAAGAAGTCGGGCTGTAATGCCTTACATTACCTGCCATCAGTCTAACCATTCCGGCGACGTTTCCGTAGTCCTGACAGCATTACTACTGGGATGACGCTGGCGAACAGGACGATCGAAGCTGGCTCGGGCACAGTGAAGAAGAAAGCCAAGTCTTGTTCAGGGTTTAATGGTGTCAGCTGCTGGCTTCCGAAACCCTGGGACGACAATACACCGTTGGGATATGGGTTTCCCAGGCTCGAACCGTAGTTGTTGAACCCCGTTAGCCCTGAATCAAACTGATTGATCACGAGTCCGTAGTGCTCGCCGAGGGAGAACGGTAACGGTGTCTCGAAGGTAATAAATCGCCAGGCGGGCACATCAGTTGGGATTTCCGAGGCCTGCAGAACCCCAGTAGCCAAGATGGGGTCGTCGAGGGTTCCGTCGGAAAGCAAATCGCGTATCTGCACTGTGACGTCGGCTGCGTTGCCATAGCCAAACACCACAAGGTTGACGCCCGCTATCGAGTCATTCGATTCCGCGACGAATGTCTGGACGGTTCCATCTCCCCAGTCGTTGTAGTAGTCGTGAATCGTCTGGCTCTGACCGTAGAGCGAGTATGGAGTTAGGCAAGTTGCAGCTATCGCGACCAGGCAGGGGCGGATGGCGACCATCAAGAGGTTCAATGTTTGCATTGAGCATTCCAGCAGGCAGGATTCACAGGTGGGGCGCACTACGATCGACCCACCATTGGGTCGATCGTAGGCGTACGCTCAGGCAGGCCATCGTTCGCGGCGCTGGTCCCTCGCGCCGCGAGTCGGGCTTTCAAAAACTCCGCCGCAGCTAGTTCTTGCTGCGACGCCTACGAATGAACGTCATGGCCAACAAACCGAAACCCGATGCAAACATACCGATCGTAGCGGGTTCGGGCACAGGCACCGTGATCTCCTGGCTCAGGACATACAGCGGTGACTGCGTATCGGGATCTTCCGAGTTGTTGTAAAACCAAAACGTGTTGCTAAACGCAGTCGAACCACGAATGGCAGACTGTCCGCTCCCACCCATCTCGAACATGACGGCGCCGGTACCGGTGGCAAAGCTGCCGGTCCAAACCATCACGTTTGTGGCCGGGTCGTTGTACTGATCGCGGTTCACCAAAGCATCGACCGACTGATCCCACATGTCGGCAAATCCATCGGCGATTTTGGTTCCGTCGAACAAATACACCGGTGTGTTCGCACCGACCACTGCATTGGCATTGGCGTTCACCGTGGGCGTCGAGACCAAAGCCTTCCACTCGACCCCCATATCGGTTCCCGTCAACGAGGGGTTCAACTCGGCCTGGGCTTGGGCAAACGCGTTGTACACAGCGATGTCGGCACTCATGGCGTCGATCGTGCCATCGGAGACGAATATCAATTGATACTTGTCGCCGGGCGAGAGCCCTGCCGGAACAAACGGTCCGGCGCATACCGGGAGTGAAGCAGCGCAAAGCAACAGCGTCACGGTCGCGGTAATCGCATTAGTTCGTTTCATTGGACTGTTCTCTTTCGTTTCGAGTATGCGCGCAGCAGGGAAACAACCCTGGCCTCTTCTTGCGCAGCTGTTAGGTAGGAATTGGGCCCGGTGCCGAACGGCAGCTGCAGAGCGCAGCGGGAAGCGCAGGGGACTCCCAGAAGATGCGAGAGAACCAAACGCGCAACCCGATGGCGGGATCGCCGTGGTTCAACTCATTCCGCAAGGGCACAGTGCCGCACCGCGCAGCCGAAATGGCATGCAGCGATCAACGAAGGAACAGAAGATTGAACCGTGCTACCCAGAAGCCACCAGTCGGCAAATCAAGCTTGCCGTTTTAAAAGGCTCGAGGTCTGAGTAGACCTCAGCATGCCTCCACTGGCAGTTTCTCCCGTATTTCGCGGTTCAAATGAAGAAGTTGCGGGGCGCACGTCCCCACAGGTACGAAGTCGAGCATATTTGGGCCGGTGAATTCAGTCAAGCTGAATCGAAAAAGAATTCTTGTGCCAAACGCCTCGTATTTCATCCCCCCACTTAGGAGAAGCTCTGCCCCCGGGAAGCCCTTCGGGCACGACCGGTCTTGCCACGGTGCCCCGATCCTGCAACACTCCCGCCCCGGCTCTCCCGAGGGCCGTCTCGTCTTTTCGCTTATCTTGTCACTGCTGCTAGTTCGAATCTGTCGGCACCCCGGTTCTCGGGGGATCGGCAGACCGCTCCAGGGTAACACTTGGTCACTTCGAAGTTCGTAACACTGGTTGTCAGCGTTTTGGCGCTGGTTGCGCTGTCGGGCTGTGCTGCGCCGATGGGACAGCAGCACGTGGCCTACAGCAACCCCGTGTTCATCCCCGACCCCAACGGCGACGTGGTGTGGGACAACGTGGTTGATGTGACCGACGACTACTTCAAGGTCGTACGCGAAGATCGCGTCCGCCAGGTGGGCGATCTGCTGACCGAAGGCCAACTCGAGACACGGCCCGAGATCGGCTCCACGCTACTCGAACCCTGGAACGGCGATTCGGTGGGCTACTACCAGCGGCTGGAAAGCACGCTGCAATCGATCCGCCGGCAATGCTTCATTCGCGTCATCCCCGACGATGGCGGCTATCTGGTCGATGTGCAGGTGTACAAGGAACTCGAAGATATCTACCGCCCCGAGTACGCCACCGCCAGCGCGGCCACGTTCCGTACAAGCCCTTCGGTGGTCCGCTACGTTGAGCCGATCGGGGCAGAACCCCGCAATGTGGGTTGGATCCCCGCGGGGCGAGATCCACTGCTCGAACAACGGATCATCGGCCGGCTCTACAACCGCTTTGGAATGCCTCCACCCACGTACGTGTCCGGCCCCACCCCCGGTCCGGTCGAATACCTGCCTCCCCCGGAATACGGCCCAACCGAGTACGGACCGGTGGAATACTAGTCGCAACTTGCCTGATGCAGACAGCCGTCAGGCATGGCTCATCGGTCATTACTCGTTGGAAGTTCTTGCGACTTCGCGTGCGATCTCTTATCCCGCTGCGAACCTTTGTGGCTCACTCCTCGTCGGTATTGCATGTGTAACGGGTACACAGCGTAACGAGTGGTGTAATGTCACAATTAGAAATGGTTTCGATCGAGCTAACCAACACCTGCTCCAAAGGTTGTTGGTTCTGCTACAACCACAGCCATCCACGAGGCAGCACAACGTGGCACACATACGAGATCATCGACTTCGTTCGTGATCTTGCCTTCCACGGCGTGCGCGCAGTGAGTTTCGGCGGCGGCGAGCCGCTCGAGCACGAAGGCCTGTTCGATGCATTGGACGACCTGCATGGCGTGGTCTATCGCTCACTCACCACCAACGGTTTGCTGTTGCGAGGCGAGTTGCTCGATCGATTGATCGAATCGCGGCCGAACAAGGTTCACATCTCAATTCATTTCCCTGAATCGCAGAAGGAAGTGACCCGAGTCATGGAGAACCTTGAGACGCTGAGCCTGCATGGCATCAATGCCGGGGTGAATCTCGTTGTGCGCAGAACGAACGTGGCTGCCGCACAGCGAGCGGCCAACCGCCTGCGCGAAGCGGGTCTTGATAACCGACACATCGTGTACTTGCCGATGCGAGGTCAAGATACGCCCACACCCGCCGACGTGCACTTGGTGGCAGGCCAGACTCGCTTCCAGTCGATGTCTTGCTTGACACAGTGTGGACCGACCCCACGCTTCGCCACGGTGGCCTGGGACAAGACTGCGGCATGGTGTTCGTACACGGCCGAGCGAACCCCGCTGTGTGAACTGACCCACCGAGGGCTCATCTCGGCCCTGAACGGATTGGGGGTGGAGTACTGTGGAGACGACAATCTCATGCAACTGCAAGCATGATATCTGTCAGGAGGACTGGCCGGCTGCACACTCGATGTGCACCGACTGGTTCGCCGTCGACGAAAACGGTCACATCGCAGTGTTCGACTCCAGCGACTCAGGAGCGGTAGCAAGTGGTTCGCTCTGTGAACCAGAACGTTACTGCGCTGAGGAATCGAAGGCGGCTTGGGCCGGATTTCACGAGTGGCTGGATGCCTCATCGCGCCCTGGTCATGTTGTTTTCGATGGCGATTGTTCCAACGACTGGCTGTATGGCTGGTCCCATATGCGTATTGCCAGAGATAGTTTGGAAACGAGTAATGAGTCTATTGGAGCAAGTGTTCGGTTTTCATTCGAGTTCATTACGATCTTGGATCCGACGAAGGTGGAGTTGGCCGAGCGCTTTCTCGACCCTTGTCGTTTCTTACCCTCGATCGCCAAGCCCGTCGTGGACGTTAAGGGGCTCACTGCTCGAGAGCATCGAGCCTTGCACGAACTCGGAGTTTGCGTCGAATGTAGGCCGGTTCGCGAGGAGATCGTCAACTATGCCA